AATAAATAAATTAAAATAAAATAAATAAAATAAATAAAATAAAATAAATAAAATAAGAAATAAATACGATAAAAAGCGGTAAAAACAAATAAAACAAACAACAGAGAGAGAGACTAACGACAAACAAATAATAAATAAACAAATAAACAAAGACAAACAGAGACAAACAAATAATAAATAAATAAATAAATAAACAAAAAGACAGACAAACAGATAATAAATAAATAAAGACAAAAAGAAATATCAAAACAAATATTTAAAGAAACAAAGAGAGAAGAGACAGAGAGACAGAGACAGAGAGACAGAGACAGACAGAGATAGAGACAGAGACAGAGACAGAGAGAGACAGAGAGAGAGAGACAGAAAGACAGACAAAGACAGAGAGACAGAGAGACAGAGACAGAGACAGAGAAGAGGAGACAGAGACAGAGAGACAGAAGCGGAGAGACAGACAAAAAAGGCAGAGAGGAAGCGAGAGAGAAAAGGAGACAGTAGAAAATAAACAGAGAGACAGAAAACAGCAAAAAAATATAAAAAGGAGACAGAGACAAAAAGAGACATCAAACCTTCAAGCTACTTGTTGCTGCTGCAGCTGTCGTTACAGCAGCAGCAGCAGCAGCAGCAGCAGCAAGTTGTTTTTATGGCCTCGACAGCAGACCCGATGGCGGCAGCAGCAGCAGCAGCTCGCCGTTGCTGTAACAGCAGCAGCAGCAACCCCTCTCCTCTTCGCATACAACGAGAAGCAGCAGCAGCAGCAACAGCAGAGGCCGATGCCGACTCTGAGCTGCTGCTGCAAGAGGAGCAGCAGCAGCAACAGCAGCAACAGCAGCAGCAGCAGCAGCAACAGCAGCAGCGATTAAGACTACAGAAGTATGGGGCCCGACTGCGGCGTTGGTTGAGGGTGCAGCAGCTGCTGCTGCAAATAAAGCTTCAACGCATGCAGCGTAGGTTTCTGCTGCTGCAGCACTGGTTGCGGCGGCAGCGTATGCTGCTGCTGCTGCTGCTGCGGCAGCAGCAGAGGGAGGTCCCCGAGCTACGGTGGGTGCTGCTGCTGGGCCTTTATATTGCTGCTGTGCTGCTGCTGTCTTTGCTGTACCTGCGGCTTGTAGATCCTCGCTGGCAGCAGCCCACTATGAAGCAGCAGCAGCAGCTGCTGCTGCAGCAGCTGCAGCAAGACTTTGCAGCAGAAGCAGCTTGGTTGTCTCCCTTATGGAGACAGCCGCAGGTATCAAACGCAAGAAAGTTTTTCAGCGAGTTCCTTGTTGCTGCTGCTGCTGCTGTTGCTGCTGAGAAAAACAGCAGCAGCAGCAGTAGCAGCAGCAAACGGCTGTTTCTGCTGCAGCTGGCGGTACTCGGAGGTCAGGCCCAGTTTGCTGCAGCAGAGCGGAAGAAGCAGCAGCAGCAGCTCGCATCCCTCTACAAACAGCGAACAAAATTCGTATACAGCACCATTCCTGAGAGAAGCAGCAGCAGCAGCAGCAGCAGCAGCAGCAGCAGCAGCAGCGAGTTAGAAGACGCCTTGCAAAGGGCGGCGGATAGAGAAATGGAGCTGCGGGAGGCTTTTGCTGCTGCTGTTCGCTATCAGCAGCAGCAGCTGCAGCAGCAGCAGCAGGAAGAACACCACATGCCCAGCAGAAGCAGAAGCACAGGCATGCGCAGACAGCAGCAGCAGCAGCAGCAGCAGCAGCACCAGGTGTACGGGCACCCCTGCATCGCTAATGCAGAACATATCATGGAGCTGGGGAAAGCCGATGCTGCAGCAGCAGCAGCTGCTGCTGCTGCAGCAAAGCGTGTGCAAGAAGTAGAAAGAGAGGTGCGGCTACAGCAGCAGCAGCAACAGCAGCAGGAGAAGCAGCAACACCAACTCATGCAGCAGCAGCAGCTGCTGAAGCACCAGCTGCGCCTCACCAACCGCCGCAAGACATATCAGACAAGTGAGACCCTGCAGCAGCAGCAGCAGCAACTGCAGAAGCAGCAGCACCTGGTGCAGCAGGAACTGCAGCAGCTCGAGCAGCAGCAGGAGCAAGTCAAGCAGCAGCTGGAGGCTCTGCAGCAGCAGCACACCGAGTACCGCAGGCAGCAGCAGCAGCAGCAGCACCAGCACATGAGCTTTGCTGCAGCAGAAGCAGCGTGGATTGCAACGTGCATGCGGTTCTTTCGCAGCAGCAGCTCCTGGTTGTCTTTGCTGCTGCAGCAGCAGCAGGACCAGCAGCAGGCATCTTAGAGCGTTGCAGCAACAGCAACTGCAACCGCAGCAGCAGGTGCTGCTTCTGCTGTTGCTTCTTCTACTAATGCAGCCCTGCCGCAGCAACTGGTGCAGCAAATAGCAGCATCAGCTGCTGCTATCTTGAATATTTGCTGCTGCTCTCCTCAGCAGCAGCTGCTGCTGTTAGCTGCACATGCAGCCCCACAACACAACAGCCTCCCTAGACAGATAAACGACTTCTACCGCAGCAGCAACATATACTGCTGGTCTAGCTGCAGCAGCAGCAGCTGCTGCTGCTGCAGCATAGTAAGCGAATAGAGGTGATTGGCGTTGCTAAGCAATTAAATAAATAGAGGCAGCAGCACAGCGAGATAAGAATGAGAAGCAGCAAATAACAAGCAGCAGCAAGCAAAGCAGCAGCAGCATCAGTTGCTGCTGCAGTAGCTGCAGCAGCAAACAAAGCAACTGTAAAGAAAGACGCAGCAGCAAAGAAGTGCAGCCAGCAGCAAACGGATAGAAGCATGACAGCACTGTATTATGTATGTATATATATGTATATACATATATATATATATACATATATTTATATATATATATTTATTTATATATGTATATATATTTATTTATATAGGGTGTAGTGAGCCGAACTTCATTGATTCCCTCTCAAACCTAAATGCTGCAGCAGCAGCAGCAACAGCATCAGCAGCAACAGCAGCAGCGGCAACAGCGTCAGCAGCAGCAACGGAAGCAGAAGCCGCTGCACATAGGCGTATTATGGGCAATTTGTGTCGTACTTCTACAGCAGCAACAGCAGCAACAGCTGCTGATGCTGCTGCTGCTGCGGCCCCACACCTACCCCACACAGGGTTAAACTAAAGCAGCGCATGCAGCTGAGGTGTACAGACACCTCAACTACGCCTACTGCACAAAACCCAAGTGGAAGACACTGGCACATACAGCAGCAGCAGCAGTAACAGCAGCAACAGCAGCAGCAGCAGAAGCATGCCCCGCATTGCAAGGGGTTGTTGCAGCAGCAGCAAAAGAAACAGCAGCAACAAAACAACACGAGAATATCATCTTAGCTCTCTCCTTGTGCAATATAATAATAAAACTCTTGCTGCCACAGACGCAGCAGCAGCTTGATGTGCAGCATCTGCAGCAGCAGTTGCTGCAGCTCAAGCTGCTGCTGCT